CACTTTGTTACTTGTTTCCTTTTCTGTCCAGAAAGTTTTTGTTTGATGTAATCTCATCTGTCTATTTTCGGTTTTGTTGCCTGAGCTTTTTGGGGTTAAATCCAAAAATCAATGACCAGACCAATGTCATGTAAATTTTCCCCTATATTTTCTACTAGTAGTTTATAGTTTTGGATCTTATGTTTAAGTCTTTAATCCAGTTTCAGTTGATTTTTGTATATGGTATAAGATAAGATAAGAGTCCAATTTCATTCATCTGGATGTGGATACCCAGCTTTCCCAACACACTTTATTAAAGTGACTGTCTTTTTTCCCATTGTGGGTAGGCACCTTTGCTGAAAATCAATTGACTGTAAATGTATGGGTTTATTTCTGGGCTCTTTATTTTGTTCCATTCATTGATGTGTTCTTTTTCATGTCATTAACATGGTGTTCTAATTACTATAGCTTTGTAAAATAGTTTGAAATCAGGCAGTGTGATGCCTCCAGCTTTGTGTTTTGTTTTTTGTTGTTGTTGTTGTTTTTGCTCAAGATTTTCTTGGCTATTTGGGCTTTCTTGTGGTTCTACATGAATTTTAGGGTTATTTTTTCTTTTTGGGTGAAAAATATCATTGGAATTTTTATAGGGATTGCACTGAATCTGTGGATTGCTTTGGATAGTATGGACATTTTAACAATATTAATTCTTTCAATCCGTGTACAGGGAATATATTTCTATTTATTTGCATCTTCTTAAACTACCTTCATCAATGTTTTATAGTTTTCAGTGTACAGATCTTTCACCACCTTAATTAAATTTATTTCTAAATATTTTAGTTAAGTTTTTTGTAAATAGTATAAATTAGATTTTTTCATAATTTCTTTTATGCATAGTTTACTATTATTAATAGTGTATAGAATTGCTACCAAATTTTGTCTGTTGATTTCAAATCCTGCAACATTATTATATTCATTTATTAGTTCTAACAGCTTTTTTTGATATAGTCTTTAAGGTTTTATATACATAAGATCATGCTGTCAGCAAAGATAATTTCTTTTCTTCCTTTCCTATTTGGATGTCTTTTATTTTTTCCTTTTACCTAATTGCTCTGTCATGATTTGCATGTTGAATAGAAGTGGTGAGAGTAGGCATCCTTGTCTTGTTCCTGATCTTAGAGGAAAAGTTTTCCACTTGTTGCCATTGAGTATAATATTAGTTATGGACTTGTATTTGATCTTTATTGTGCAGAGGTACATTCCTTCTATGTCTCATTTGTTGAGAATTTTTATCATGAAGTAATACTGAATTTTGTCAAATGCTTTTTCTGCACCTACTGAAATGATCATGTGGTTTTTGTCCTTTATTTTTGTTAATATGGTGTATCAAATTTATTGATTTGCTTATGTTGAATAATCCTTGCACCCCAGGGTTAAATCCTACTTGATCATGATGAATGATTCTTTTAGTGTGCTGTTGAATTCAATTTGCTAGTATTTTGCTGAGGAATTTTGCATCTATACTCATCATGGATATTGGCCTGTAATTTTCTTATCTTGTAGTGTACTTGTCTGGTTTCAGTATCAGGGTAATGCTGGCTTTGCAAATGAGTCAGGAAGTCTTCCCTCTTATTCAATTATTTGGAAGAGTTTGAGAAGGATCAGTTAATAGTTTTTCTTTAAGTGTTTGATAGAATGCAGCAAACAAGCCATCAGCTCTTGGGCTTTTTTGTGACGTGAGATTTCTTATTACTGATTCAATCCCCTTACTCATTATTGAACTGGTCACATTTTCTATTGCTTTATGATTCAGTCTTGGTGGATTATGCTTTTAGGAATTTATCCATTTCTTCTAGGTTATCCAATTTGTTGGCATGTAATCTCTTAGGATCCTTTACATTTTTGTGGTACCAACTGTAATGTCTCTTCTTTTATTTCTGATTTTATTTGTTTGGGGCTTCTCATTATTTTTCTTAGTTTAGCTAAGAGTTTGTCGATTTGTTTATCTTTTCAAAAAACCAACTTAGTTTTATTGATTTTTAAAATTATTTTTCTAGTTTTATTTTCATTTAGTTCTGCTGTGATCTTTATTATTTTCTTCCTTCTGTTGACCTTGGGGTTAGTTTGCTTTTCTTTGGTTCCTTGAGGTATAACACTATGTTGTTTGTTTGAGATCTTTTTTTTTTTAATTGTCAATTAGGCCACAAATTTCTCTCTTAAAACTGCTTTTGCTGTGTTACATAAATTTTGGTATGTTGTGTTTCTGTTTTCATTTGTCTTAAGATATTTTTATTTTAATTAATGAATCCAGTCATTCATTTTTAAAACAGCCACAGATGCATTTTTTAAAGCAGTCACAGATGCATTAAGATATTTTTTAATTCCCCATTTGGTTTCTTCTTTGAGCCATTAGTTGTTCAGGAGCATATTGTTTAATATCCACATATTTCAGAATTTTCCAAGATGTCTCCTGTTATTGATTTTTAGTTTTATACCATTGTGGTAAGAAAAGATACTTGAAATAATTTCAATCATCCTAATTTGTTAAGATTTGTTTTGTGGCTTAATATATGATCTATTCTGGACAATGTTCTGTGTGCACTTGAAAAGAATGCATATTGTGTTGCTGTCAGATAGAATGTTCTGTGTATGTCTGTTACATCCATTAGGTCTAAAGTGTAGTTCAAGTCCGATGATTCCTTATCAATTTTCTGTCTGAATGAACCATACATTGTTGAAAGTAGGGTATTATGTCCCTTATTATTAGTGCATTGCTATCTTCTCTATTTAATATTTGCTTTATATATTTAAGTGCTATTATGTTTGATACATACATATTTATAATCCTTACATTCTCTTGATGAGTTGACTCCTTTATTATTACATATTATCCGTCTTTGTCTCTTTTTACAGATTTTGTCTTAAAGTCTTTTGTCTAAGTATAGCTACCTCTGTTCTCTTTTGATTTCCGTTTGCATGCATTATTTTTCCTTCCCTTCACTTTCAGTGTATGTGTGTTTTTAAATATGAGGTGAGTCCTCTTATAGACAGCATATAGTTGTATCTTGGTTTTTTTTAATCCATCAGCCACTCTATGTCTTTTAATGTAAACTATTTATATTCAAAGTAATTATTGGTAGGTAATATTATTGCTGCTATTTTGTAATTTGTTTTCTGTTTGTTTCATTGATATTTTGTTTCTTTTTTCTTTCTTACTGTCTTCCTTTGTGGTTTGATGGTTTTCTGTAGTGGTATGCTTTAAATCTCATCTATTATGTCTTGTGTACCTACTATAGATTTTTCTCTGTGGTTACCAAGGGAATTATATAAAATATCTTATACAATGCTATTTGAAGCTGATAACAACTTAACTTTGGTCACATATAAAAACTATATATTTCCCCCCCGTCTTATATTTTTTTATATCCAAATTGACATCTTTTGGTAATTTGCTTACTTTATCGATTCATTATAGCTATAGTTGTTTTTGTTATTTTTCTCTTTTAACTCTCATACAGGCAATAAAGTTGCCTTATACACCATTAGTATAGTTTTATAGTATTCTGAATATGACTCTACATTACTTATCTTATTGAGTTTTGTACTCTTATATGTTTTATTTTATTAATAAGCAGCCAGTTATTTCAGCTTAAGGAATACTCTTTCTCAATTCCTATAAGGCAGGGATAGTGGTGACAAAGTTCCTTAGTTTTTTTTTGTTTTTTTTTTAACACTTCCACTGCCAATAAAGAGTTCCTTAGTTTTTGTTTGCCTGGGAAAGTTTTTATTTATTCCTCACTTCTGAAGGACAGCTTTCCTGGGTGAAGTATTACGGGTTGGCAGCTTTTTTTTTTCCCCCCAACACTATGAATATATCACCTTGCTTGCTCATGGCCCACAGCATTTCTGTTAGGAAATCTGCTGATTGCTATATTCAGATTCCTTTGTATGTAATATGTTTCTTATCTCTTGCTGCTCTTAGAATTTTTTATTTGCCTTTGATTTTTGATAGTTTGATTATTATATGTCTTGGTGAGCTCCTGTTTGGGTTGAATTTGATTAGAGACCTCTATGCTTCCTGCACCTGGATGTTGGCATCTTTTCGCAGATTTATTTAGTTTTCATCAATTATTTCTTTAAATTTGTTTTCTGGCCTGCTTTATCACTTTTCTCCTTCTGAGACTGTTATGTAAACTCAACTTCTCTTACTAGTGTTGTTACATAATTCACACAGGCTTTCTTTATTATTTTTGATGTGTTTCTTTTTGCTTCCCTGACTGGGTAATTTCAAATGTGTTGTCTTTGAGCTCACTGATTCTGCTTGATTGAGTCTGCTATTGAATCTTTCTTTGAAAACATAATTTTTAATTTTCAGTTCTGTCATTGTATTCTTTATCTGCAGGATTTCTATTAATTTTTGTTTCTATTTCTTTGTCTGTCTTCTCCTTTTGTTCATGTATTGTTTTCCAAATTTCACTTAATTTTCTATCCATAAAGAGAGATTCATAATGCACAAAATGAAGAGCCACAGAAGTAGAAACAAAAGTTAACAGAATGAAAATTGTCCTTAAAACAAAACCTCCAGACACATTTAAATATTTGGAGGTATTTTTCTTTTTGTAAAGGGGGCATTCAGTTTAAGAACCTATTGAGTGATACATTTTTAGTTGTGAAAACTTGAAAGATCAACACAACATGCTCCTTGTAAGAAAAATAATCATAGAGAATTTCAGACCATGAACTTGGTACTGTAATAGAGGGAATCACCTTGGTGCATTGGCAAGAACCCAAGTTATGCCATTGCATGGCGCTGATTTGACTGCTGCCTATTATGTTCTAGTAGTGTGAACTTGAGAGCAAGTTTTTCTTAGATTGAATCTCAAATGTCTCTGTTGTGCAAACGGGATAATAAAACTTACCTTCCAAGGAATGCTGTTAGTATTAAATGAGGTAACGTACATAAAGAGTTTAATGTAGAAATGAGTGAAATCTAACTGAACTGACTGTGTTACTATTTTTTACAGGTTAATTAAAGTTAAGTAGAAGGGGAGTGATTAGGAACACAGAAGAGGTGAGATGTGAGTTGAGCCTTCAAGAATGGAAAAGCTTTTAAGAAAAGAAGATGGCAGCAGAGGGAGCATTGCAGGTTTGTTGAAAGGATGGAGCCAGTATTGCTCCATGCTATGTTTAGAAAGCAGCCACAATAATAATTGATTCCATTTAATTTGAATATAAGTTTACCAGAGTAGAATAATAAAAACATACTTTGGGGCCTGATTATTATTCCTTTTAATTGGTTAGTCCAAGAAACTTGGACTTTATTCATGATGCTATTTGAAGGAGCTTTGAATGGCTCTTATGAGATTTGACATGGACCCAGTTGTGCTTTGAGAAGATCAATCTGGCAATAGGGTTCATGTTGCCCTGGGAAATCTGAAGGCAGGATTCTGTGGCAAAGTCCGTTGACCATCTCACCGCCCCCTTTCTTATAGGACATTAGCTTTGTTGGGGATGGTGATATAATAGCTTGAAAAGGAAACAGAAAACAATAAAAAAAAATGCAACCATTTTTGCCTTCCTCCTTGGAAGAAAGGGATAGTAGCACCTAGTTTGGGACAATGTGAAATAAACTGAAGTCATAGGGTGAGTCTTCCAAAAATGCTTTTTAAAAGTGGGAGCAACTATAGGTGATAAAATGGCCTGAGACCTTAAGGACATAATCATGGAAAGCCACCAGTATCTTGAGTTCCTTATGATACTGTGGAACTGATACTTTATCCCACACTGCTTACTGCCATTAGTATGGTGATGTGAGAAAAAAAAAAGACTCCCTATTTGTTTTCAAGATGCTGTATATATGGCAAATGTTTTTGTGTCACATGCAGCTGCATTCAATCTGTAACTGATGTAAGCACCAATTAGGAAGTTTTGCAAGGGTGAGAAACAAATGAGGTGCACTAGGAAGCTGGAATGTGGTAGGGACAGCATCAGTAGAAATGGAAAAGAATAGTAAACAGGATACACATCGGGGGATAGATATCCTAAGACAATTGCTGATTGGGTGTATGAATGGAGGGAAAGGAAGGAATCCAATATAAATTTGAAGTTTAAGCTTGAGTGATCAGGAAAATGGTAACATTATTTACTGACTGGAGATAGCTGTGAGAAAAGATGACTCAAGTGGTATGCAAATGAAAATAAATTAAATTTTAAATGAGTGAATTTTACTCAAGAAAGAAAAGTCTGGATACTCTAAGAACTAAATCAGTAGTATTGACTCTGAAGCCCTTAAAAAGACTGGTAGAAGGAAAGGATAAGGGGTTTCCTGTCAGATCGTAGGGTTTCTATTTATTTTTCTCAGTTTGAAGATGGGCCATACTTACTGGTCAGAAATTTTAAACAGGAGTTTACACTACTGGAAAAGGTGTAATCATTTCCTCTGGGGCAAAGCAGCTGGAAACATGGCTTGCTCAGCCAAGGCGCGGGCCTGCTTTCAGAGTAGAACAAGGTCTCAGTGGCCTCTGGATGCGCTTCACAGTTCCATGACTCTATAATTATCTCAGGCTTCAAATCACTTTCCAAGGAACAGCAAATAATTCTCACTAATAGAACACCATTTGAAACTTGGAACTGAAATTACACATTTTCAATAAAGGGTTGTAATAAAGATAGTGGCTGGAGACTCCCTCTAGGAATAAAGAGCTAAATGCATTGGTCGGCCACTCGTGCAAGACAAAGCTGAAGTCCACATTGATTCATGACGTGGGAGAGGTCGGAGCTCTATAGAAGTTTTAAAAACCAACCTGATGGAAAATGAAAGAACCAAAAGGACATTGTTATTTCAATGTGGAATCTGGAATTTGCACGTAGCATCAGTGAATGTTCTAAAGTGTAAATTCTGCATCAAGCCCACTAAGAAACTGCTGCCTTATTTTAGTTCCTGCATTTAGTTCCTTTCTGAAACCTCTTTATTGGTACGGTGGATGGAAATCTGTCTTTGAGTTCTTTATAATTTTGCCAACACTAAGAGACCAATGCTATGAGAAAAAGGATAGGAAGATACGGAGAGCTCTCATATGAATAAAATTTATCCTAAGTTGCCACAGATTCAGAAAAGCAATTATTTGGGCAATTTTGTTTTTCAGAGGCCTCAAGCATATGACAGAGAGCAATTATTAACATAAATGACTTCTGGTATCTATAGTTATAATTTTCTTTAAAATTATACTTCCTACAGAAGCTTGTGGTCTGAAACGTAAGGCTCATACAAATAGTAAAGTGCAGTCATTTTGAAAGTGATTTCAGGTCATAGGCATTCCTTCAAAAATTATTCCATGGTCAGGTAAGTAGAGGGCATTCTTTTTAAACAAAAGCATTAAGTTTCTTTCTTGCAGTTCTTATCAGAGCCTTTATAAAGCCCCATGACCCACCAAGAAAGGAATAGAGGAAACAGCATTTCCAAAAATATTACATCTTAGAATTATTTTTATGAGATTATTAGAGAGAATGTAATCAACAATGTTTTTTTCTTTAATTTTAAACGAACATTTATTTCTTGCCACTTGTTATTTTTTGAATGAAAATATCAAGGTTCAAAAATATAAAGTAACTTAGATTGGTGTGGATGATTTTATCTTCTTCATTTGGGAATTTCTCATCCCTAAGCTCCCTCCAGTTTCCCATGGTTGCAGTAATGGCCCAGCCATTGGTACAGCTTGATGCTGCACTTCTTACTACAGTGTATTGGGCCACCTGTGGGCACCTGGTCCAAATTGGTGTAATTGAATTTCTTTTCTTGGGAGTTTGACATGGAGATCAAGAAATTCACTCTCTCTCTTTTTGTCTCTTCCCCACTCACTCTCTTGCTTTCTTTTTCTCTGTATGGCTAGACATGTAACATGTAAGATATAAGTGATATGAGTGATACGTTTTTAGTCCATGTGGACCAAAGAAGCAAAGAAAGACTGTCCAGAGGGGGAAAAAATAGCACAAATGCATAGGGAGGAAAAAGGGAGGAAGAGAGAGCAAGTGTGTGAGAATGAGCACTCTGAAAGTGTTGTCAGTCCCTCTTTCCACTTTGTTCAGCTATATCCCTCCCCCTGGGGTTCTATGAGTCCCTTGTAACCTTTAGGTGGATTCCTTTTCTTTTAAAGTTGAATTATTTTCTGTTTTTTTTCCAATCAAAAAGGGTTTAATAACTATAGTCACATAAGTTAATAGCACAATAAGAGCTAGAAAAATCACTTAACAATCAGTGAAATGCCTTTTCAACTATAAGGCTTGTACAACTCTTGAATAATACTTTACAAATATTGGCTTATATTTAAAAAATGTAATGTTAGGAAATAAAACCATTAATTTTTTCCATCGCATTATTCATAAAACTATCCATGTTTGCTTATTTATATGCATTGTATTTAGTTTCCTTAAAATTTAATAGAGAAAAATCACAAAATAAAAATAACACAGACTTATATTCATTTTACTACTTAAATTGAATAAATTGAGCATTCATAATATTTGCTTAAAATCTGTTCTCTTTTATTCACAGAAATAGGAAAAACAATCCTAAAATTCATATGGAACTAAAAAAGAGCCTGTATAGCCAACGCAATTGTGAACAAAGAGCAAAGAAGAAGAAACAAAGCTGGAGGCATCACACTAACTGATTTCAAAATATAGTATGAGTTTGCAGTAACCAAAACAGAATGGTATTGGCATAAAAAGAAACACATATAGACCAGTGGAAGAATAGAGAATCTAAGAATAAATCCATGTATTTACAGCCAACTGATTTTGACAAAAGCACCAAAAACAGATATTGGAGAAAGGACACCCTTTTCAGTAAATGGTGCTGTGAAAACTGGATATCTGTATGCAGAAGAATGAAACTGGACTCCTGTCTCTCATCGTATGTAAAAATCAATTCAAGATGGATTAAAGACTTAAGCATAAGGCCATAAACTATAAAACTAATGGAAGAAAACATTGGAGAAACACTTTAGGACATTGGCCTGGGCAAAGATTTTATGGGTGAGACTTCAAAAGCACAGTCATCAAAACCAAAATAGACAAATGAGATAATATTAAACTGAAAAGCTTCTATACAGCAAAGGAAACAATCAAGAGAGTGAAGAGACAACCTGATGAATGGGTTAAAATATTAGCAAACTAATCATCCAACATGGGACTAATATTCACAATATACAAGGAACTCAAACAACTCAACAGTTAAAAAATTCCCATTCAAAAGTAGACAAATAACGTGAATAGATATTTCTCAAAAGAAGACATACAAATGGCTAACAGATATATGAAAAAAATGCTCATGTCACCAATCATCAGGGAAATTAAAGTTAAAACCACAAGAGATGTCATCTTATCCCAATTAGAATAATTGCTATTAATAAGAAGAAACAAATAACAGATGCTGGCAAAGATGCAGAGAAAAGGGAATCTTATACATTGTTGGTGGGAATGTTATTAGTGCAGCCACCATGGAAAACAGTATGGAGATTTTGCAAATCTAAAACTAGAACTAACATATGATCCAGCAATGCCACTACTGGGTATTTTTGAAAGGAAAAGAAGTCAGTATAACAAAGGGATACCTAAAACCCCATGTTTATTGCACAACTATTCACAGTAGCAAAGATATAGAATTAACTTAAGTGTCCGTCATGGAAGAATGGGTAAAGAAAATGTGAGATATATACATACACATGCATGCACACTCACACAATAGAATACTATTTGGCTATAAAAAGGAATAAAATCATGTAATTTGCAACAACACAGATGGAACTGGAGGACATTAAGTTAAATAAAATAAGCCCACACAGAAAGATAAATGTCACATGTTCTCATTTATATGTGAGGCTAAAAACATTGATCTCATGGAGGTAAGGAGTAGAATTATAGATAACAAAGGCTGGGAAGGATATGTGTGGGGTGGTGATGGTGGTGATGAAAGAGTATGGTTAATGGGTAAAAACATACAGCTAGCTAGAAGTTCTAATGTTCAATAGCGAAGTAGGTAACTATAGTTAACAACAATGCATTGTATATTTCAAAATAGCTAAAAGAGAGGACTTGAAACATTTCCAACACATAGAAGTGATAATACTCAAGGTGATGGGTACTCCACATATCCTGACTTGATCATTACACATTCTATGTGTGTAATGAAATATCACATGTACCCCATAAATATGTACAAATATTATGTATCAATAAAAAATTCACTTTTAAAGAAATAAAAGATAGACAGTTTTCTATGTTCTCTATCTCCGATCCAATCCCCTCAACATCTCTACAAAGGAAACTCTTAATAGGAATTTGGTGTATGTCCAAATCATATTATTGTGTGTTTATAACATAGTTGTCTCTGTGTGATATATTTGTATGTTTTAAAAAATGTATTTAAATAGTATTGTACAATTCATAACACTATGTAATTGTCTTTTAATACTTAATATTATGCTTGTGTGTATATTTAAAACTTTTTATATTTTAATTTTATTGAACAAGATTTAGCATTTATTTTATAATCATTATTATTATCCTTTACTTGAGAGACATTTTGCCATGTTGTTGCATGGTTTTTGCATTTAACTTTTACATTGCCTGGATAATCTCCCACTGAGTTGATACATGTTAGTTTGCTTTACTATTCTTACATAGTTTAGGTAATTATCATGTATTTTTGGCCATTATAAATAAGCAAGAAAAAAAAAGTAGGTAAATGATAGAAATTAGGATATTTGTACCAAAAGTTAAGAGATAGCTCATTAACCACAACTTAAGCCATAAGGGTATTTGCTGTTTATATAAGAAACCAATGCCTGTTTGGCTACTCAACAACGCTTGGGATGTTAGTCAATTTCTCTGTGACTCTTTTGCCTTTCTCCTCCTCATCACAAGAGGCTGAAGTTGTTTCAAACATCACATCAGCACAAGGCCACCTCCAGAGCATAGGGTGGGAGAAAAGAAGGGCTCTTTCTTCATGGCTCTGTTTTTTCAGACAGAAAAATTCTTCCTTGGAGCTCTTATCAGACTTTATCTTAGATTTTAATATCCAGATCAGGTCTAAATAACTCTAATAAGTCTGGATATCTAAAAATCCAGATATGTCTAAACAAGTCTCAGCTGTGCAGAGAACAACAGATTGTCATGACTGACATTATTTTTACAGGCTTGGACACAAGCCCCCTCAAAGCACACTGAATTTTAGCTGGCCAAGAGAAAGTGAAAAATGGCTATGTATTATGTTTCTTCGAAGAATCAAAAGAACCGCGTTTATGTGTATATATATTTATATATAAGGAGATAATTATAAGTTATTATATGGAATTGGCTCAAATGATTAGGAAGGCAGACAAGTTCCAAGATCTGTAGAGTGAGTCTGCACGCTGGAGACCCGGGAAAGCCAATGGTTTAGTTCGGTTAGAGTTTGAAAGCCTGAGAAACAGGAAAGCTTTTCTAGTTTTTCTAGTCTAAAGGCTAGAAGGCTTGAGATCCAAAAAAGCTATTGTCCCAATTCAAAAGGCATCAGGCAGGAAAATTTTCTCTTAGGGGAGGGTCAGCCTTTTTGTTCTATTTAGGCCTTCAACTGATTAGGTGAGGCTCACTCACACTACAGAGGGCAACCCCTTTTATATTTACTCTACAACTTAAATGTTAATTTTATCTGAAAATACCTTCACAGAAACACCTGGAGTAATGTTTGACCAAGAATCTGTGCATGCTGTGGCCCAGTAAAGGTGACAGATAAAATCATCACAGTGGGCTCGATGGGCAGCCAGTAGTGTTTGCTTCAAGGGCAGAGGACATCATTACATAACATTTTGGGTGTTTTTAATAGCGATTTATTATCAATAATGGATTATTGCATTCAGCTGATGGTAAATATTTTTAATACTTTTGATATTTATTTCCAAAATGCAATCACAAAAGACTTCTGCAATTTGCAGTCTTTATGTTTTAGAATATACGCTTCCAGTATTAGCCCAGTATTATGTTTTTTAAAAAAAATGCTTATTTATTTGGTGTAAAATGTTACTCATTATTGCTTTAATTTTCATTTTTTGATAAACAGAATAAAATTTTATCATATCTGCTTATCTCATATATGTATTTCCCTTTTTTGTGCATTTTTTAATGAAATCTTGGCAGTGCTGTAAAACATTTTGTAGATTCCATATATATTATATAAAATATAATATATTATTTAATAAATAAACACTGATATTTAATAGAATATCATAGATTATAACATATCATATAATATAAAATATAAAATATATTTATGTCTATTCTCTTCCTATTCTTTTCAGATTTTTTCATTTCTACCAACCTGTTGTTTTCTTTTTTATTTAAATGTTATGATTCCTTTTACATATGTGTTTTAATTTTCTTAATGTTACCCATTTTGATCTTTTCTTTTATAATTTCTCCTTTTATTATTAATCCTCTTAGTTGTGATAAATACTTTTTCTTGTGATTTTATTTTAATCTCCTTAGAATTAGTATTGGAGTAAAGCATAGTGTTGTTAATATCATTTATTAAAGAAAGACTCCCATTGTTTTGATATGCTTACTTTATGATCTGTAAATGTAATGGACTGAATTGTGCCCCCCCTAAATTTATACACTGAGGCCCTACCCCTCAATGTTAGTATTTGGAGATAGGGCCTCTAAGGAGATAATTAAGGTTAAATTAGTTCACTAGGGTGGGGCTCTAATCTGATAGGACTGCTGCCAAGAAGAGGAAGAGACACCAGAGTTCTCTCTCTAGCATGTGAGGACACGTTGAGAATATGGCCATCTATCACCCAGGCTCAACTGCAGACTGATTCTATTTTTTTTCTTCAACAACTTTGCATAATTAAATGATTTGTTGACATTATATAGAGATAGCCCCAAATAAACATTTCTTGCTCTATAAAAGTTGATCATAAACTGTTTTAGAAAGAGTTTCCAGGGGAGAATAAAACGATTCAATATTTATGAGTTTTATCTTGCTTTAAATTAGCACCAATAGTAATGAAGGAAATAAGGTAGGAGCAATTGGGAGATTTTCCACAACTCTTGAATACTTCTAAGTGCTCCTTCTGAGCTGTGGAGGGTCCGGAAGGCTTGGCTGCTGCTGGTGAGCCTTGGCACACAGGGACCACGTTTATCTGAGAATGTTTCTGGAAAGAGGTCATTGTTCCAGTATCAGTACTAACCTCATCACTCTTTGATCTTCCTCCTTCACCTCTTGAAGGACTTTTAGATGCTGGGTGTTTTTTTTTTCTTTTTGTCCTGATAATGTTTATCACATCCCGTTTGCAAATTCATTATCTGGGGCATCCGGTTTCCTCTAGGTCTAAGCAGTACCCCTTCGATGGTACTGAGTAAACATCGCGTTATTTTTTCTGCACTCCAGAGTAGCTTGTGACTTAAGAGACAGCAAGTCCAATAGGACATTAACAGGACAAAACAAAACAAAAAAAAATTGAATTGGTCAAAACTTAACTAAATTTAGTGCTGATCCCTTGAGAAAGAAAGAAAGGGGAAAAAAAGCCCTAATTCAACACCCAATTATTTTTTAAAAAAGGATCTAAAGACATAGCAGGAAATTAGACCAGCCAGTTTGACACCAGTTAAGTCTCAGAGCATTCTAAAAAGATCAAATACTGGAACATTTAAAAAGCACAGCTTGATAACAGTCAATTAAGGTAGCCTCAGGATGTGGCCAGGAGATTTTAGTAATTTGTGTGTGTACAGCACGGATGAAAATTCTAAAAGGCATTGCCATAAGAATCAAGAAAAACAGAGTAAAAATTGTAAACGGGATATGGCTGTTTGACATAGCCCTTTTCTTTCTTTTTTGCTTAATAACTGAAGCCTGGA